GTTCTTCTGAAATCAGTTCCCTTGAAAAGAACCCAAAAAAGCTGAAACAAGCAGTTCAGTGACTTCCAACGTGTTGTGAATAATCGATCTGTGATACAATGGCAGCAGCTGTGGACAAGAATCTAGGGTGTGTACAGAACTTCTAACTTCAATACAATACCTTGAAAAATATAGATTTTTGATACCACAGGGAAAAATTAACACCGGATGAGGGCAAAAAGTTTTACATTTTATTTAAAAGATTAGTAAAAGAATGCTATAAGATGATGAGGTACGGCTTTTTTCTTGGCTGGTAGCAGAGAACAGTAGAATGACTGCAGCAGCTGTCACCAATGGGCTGATTTTGTACTTTAGTCATTTTTTTCCACATAGATTGTGTGTTAAGCACAAGCATCAAACTTAATTTACTAATTAATTCAAGCATTTTCCCATCAGCTGAATCTCTGCTGTCTGAGGTTCCTCAGACTGGACAGCTCTCAGAGATTAGCTTAGCTTGGAGAATTACAGTGGGACAACAGGACAACACAATTAACAGCCGTTTGCTGGGCCATCGTGTTTAATGCTGAAATGGGAGTTGTCATCAACTTCTTGAAATTTTTTTATACAGGTCTGTGTGTCGCTCCTTTAGGTGCTTTGCTGAATTTGTTGTGTTCGCACCTATCGTTAGAGCGGCTCCATTATCTGGCATTTTCCTTGTCAACCAAAACTAGTCACAGAGGCTCCACACTTGTCATCTGTAATGAGCCAGTACCCTAACCCTCTAATATACCACGGTCTGTTGTCAGTTTAAAATTCAAATGGAGCAAGACAAGTGATGAGGCAGACAGGACTGTGAGTGAGTGACAGGAGGTGGGGCTGTGGGCACTGCAGCGGTGTGTGTTTGTGCATGTTAACTTGCTGTTGGAGAGAAAAGGGAGTGAGAAAGTGCAGCTGGTATCAATGTATTGATACTACAGAAAATCAGTACTGAAACCTTTCAGATATACAGAACTGAAAAATCTACTGTATATTTTTTGACAGCACTAATACAGGTACGCATTACCTGTATTTGCGGTTGACCTCATCAGCAGTCAAGGCGTGATCAAACATCAGGACCTTATGGGCGTCCTGCAGCCGTGGTCCAGTGTACTCACGGTACTCCAACTCCACAGCAGCATCCAGCAGTGACAGGTACCTCCGGACAATCAGAGCGTACGGACTGTCTGTGGGGACAGACGGATGTGTTGGTCAGGCTGATGATTTTTATCGGTTGGCTGTTTACACTACTGTTGTACTGGTTGTGTTTTGGTACTTTACTGGTGACGTTGCTGATGAAGGCAGAGGAGAAGACTCGATGCAGCACTAAGCCGGGGAAATGTCCCAGCTGGAACAGAGACATGAGAATGTTGACGGTGGCGAGCGGTGAGCTAAGCGCCTTCAGCTCCACCACCTCCTCCAACCGAGAGAAGAACTGCTGCTCGCTGGATGGACGATAACTCATTCTGCTGAATGGGAACACCAGCTTTTGGATCACCTGAGGACAGAAAAACACACTTGCAAAGTCCTGTAAACAAGTACTGCAGACCACATGACCACTGGTCACGTCTTTACCTTAGTGTCCAGGTATTCTGCCTTTTTCACTAGGAAGTCTGCGATGGTGTCGAGCAGTCGAGTCTCTCTCAATCGATGGCGGGCGATATATTTGGCGATCAGGGCCATCGTGTACGGAGTGATGCTGTCCACCTTCTTTGGCAGCTCCTCTGATGGAGAGCAACACAGGTCACATGGTCAGGTAAGGTTCCAACGGCTGGTTCAGTTTTGGATTTGGTCCCAGTTAAGAAAAAAAATCTGGATTCACTCAGATCAGATGCTAATGAGGGGGTTCCTGAGGCATCACTCCTAACCGATTCTGTCAGCTGTGGATAATTAACGTTAATGAAACTGTCGTCTGTGCACTACATGTACCTGATAACTTCAGCTATTCAGATTTAACCATCCTTACCAGCCAAACTGCTGATGAACCTCTCCTGTCTGTTCTGGTAGAACAGGTGAGAGCTAAAGATCAACTCCAGGCTCTTGTTGCTCGCTTCTCTAGCACACACCGCCAGCATCTCGTCCAACAGAGCCATCTCCTGGTCACGAACTCCGCTGACACTTGCCAGCGTGTGTTTGACCAGGCGTAAGATCTTCCTGGAGGTGGGGGAATAAATAAAATGAAATGTACAATAGAAATGCCAACCTGACATCATTATTAGTGAGTAAACTCATCAAGTCTTAAGGCTTCGGTCTCGGGTTAAATGAACTCATGATCTAACTGTAAACTGCTCCTAGTGAAGAATTTTTTCTCACCTGTTGGTGAGCAGCTGTTCAGGGTTTGGAGGTGTGTTATTATTGTTAGCGACAGCTGCAGGCAGCGGGTTCCTGTGGCTGCAGCGACCGCCACTTCAGTCTGTAGTAGGACAGCAACAGGAACAGTGTCTGCGGGTGGCGCTCTCTCTCCAGGTTCTTCTCCAGGCCGGCCAGGCAGGCCTCAGTCAGGGGGTGCTGACTGCCCGGGTGTAGCTTCATACTGGAGCTGAACACCATGGACACATCCTTCTGGTTAAACTGGTTCAGTCTGGACTGAGACTCTCCCTCCAACACCTGGACCACCTGAGAGTCACTAGGAAGACCTACATAAGCATAAGCATAAACTTAATTGCCAAGTGTCATCAAAAATACAAGGAATTCGACTCCAGCCCAATGGCCCCTGATGTGCACAGGAACATAAAAACAGAATAAAACCAAAACCACAAGCAAATGGATAATAAATATGAATGACTAAGTCAGAATCAGTTTAGATTGACTTTGTTCTGTGAAACCAGTTTTTTATCTTTTATGCATGAATGATATCACATTGGCTCATCACCTAAAAGCTTTTTAGCCAGGCTGAGACACCTGTGGAGTCTCACCTGAGGAGAGGTTCTCCTAAAAAAAATACTTTTGTTACACTCAGAGACCAGTGAAAGTGGTTTTCTCTTCTCTTGGGTCCTGATCACACATAGACTCACCAAGTGCTGCCACAGCATACAGACAGTTGACAATGCTGAAGTTGTCAAACTTGGCACAGTCGCTTATGATGGCACTGCAGAGTGTCTGGAAGTCCTGATGCTCCAGGATCTGTCGTCCGTCATTCCCCTCTGCTCCTCCTCCTGCAGCCTCGGTGTCAGCGTCATCCCCTCGGGTACGTAGCGGTGGCGTGGTCTGCAGCAGCTGTCCAATTTTCTGCAGGGCGATGGGATAGTGGTTGTGGGAGACCTTGGCAGGGTTCTGGGTGACCCAGCGCAGCACCTCGTCAGGCCGCTGTGAGCGCTCAATCAGACGCTTCATGGTGAAGAACGTGTCATAGCTCATCTTTTCATGGATGAAGTTCCACGTCTTCTTCTTGCTGCCGATGGCAGCCCCTCCGACTGGAGCCCCCCCTCCGTATGTGTGGAAGTGGGTGTGGTGCTGGTAATGGGGAGGCAGTGGAGGTGGGGCCAGGTGACCAGGCTGGGGGTGGTAGTGGTGGAAGTGTGCACCTCGGTGGGCGTCAGGACGGCTCTGGTACAACGGGTAGGCAGGGGGAGGTGGAGCCGGGTGTGGGTGGTGAGGAAGGTGCGGGTGAGGGGGGTGGGGCGCTTCAAGCATGGCCAGTCTCGCCCTTCGCCCCTGTTTAACCCCACTTCCCCCCCCTCCTCCTCCTGACGCTCCTCCCCCCACGGCGTTGTAGAGGCGGGTGGTGTACATGGCGAAAGACGGGCAGTGAGCTCGGCTCAGAAGACGCCACCCATTGGACCAAAACAGCATAGCCCCACAGCCAGGCCACCAGGAAGCAACAATACACCGCTCCTACAGAGGAGGAACATATTAAACAATCCAATAAACATCCAACTACCTACACCTCTAACAGGTCACTACTAAACAGGTTGGGGAGTTGTTTGTTCAGAGACCAGTGGGTTTAGAACAGGTAAGAACAGGTAAACTGTGACAGACACACTGTCATTGTTTTGAATGTTCTCCATCTATAACAACAAACAAAGAAGCATCTGAGCCCTGTTGTGTTTATGTCGGTGCCTTTGAGTGTGAACAGTGTGAAGGAGGAGGTTCAGAGTCTTTAGACTCCCACCAGTGATCATTAGTCTGATTCCTCTCGGACACAACAGACATCAGCAAAAGAAAAAGACGGAGGAGATAAACAAATGTATGATAACTCACTGACCTGCAGTGGAAAGTTACCAAGTACATGTACTCAACTACCGTGCTTAAGTGCAGTTTTCAAGTACCTGTACTTTACCTGAGTATTTCTATGTCAACTACAAACCATGTACTTTTTACTGCACTACATGTACCTGATAACTTCAGGTCCTTTCCAGAATCAGATGAATCAAACCAAACCCAGTAGAACCATCAGACTCTATTGATCCCGGTGGGAAATCCACCAGCTACCCAGCAGGATGTAAAGTACTTCACAGTATAAGTATATAAGGTAATTACCACCAGCTCCACCTTCACCAGCTGCAGCATTAAAATGATGAACACAGTAACACATCAGTAACTACGATCCAGTATCAGAGACGTTACTGGGACACAGGCCGTTCTGCAGGACGAGTACTGGTAATGCTGGTACTTCAAGTAGATTTTGATGCTGATGCTTTTGTACTTTTTCTAATTGAATGCAGGACTTTTGCCTGTAAGAGTATTTGCACACTGTGGTATTTCTACTTTTACTGAAGTAAAGGACCCCAATACTTCTTCCAGCGACACAATTGTAAACAACAACCATAGCTGACCAGCTTAAACACTCCAAACTCAAAGAAACTACAGAAAACTAAATTTGTGGAGGAACAACAAGCCTTGTGTTTAACTATTTCTACAGTGTTCGACATGTTAGTGTCAGCCATCATGTTAGTGTTGATAATGTGAGAAGGTTGAGTGCTCGGCCTCGTCCTGCTGACGCTGTTACACCGTGTTCTGTGAACGCCAGACTTGGGGCTTGTAGTAGTGCAACAGCCAGGGTCCTTGTTGACATCTGCACATATCTGGTTTTGCTTGACCAACAGTCCAAAACATACAGACATTCACCGTACTGTGATGTATGACCAGGAGAAGCATCAAATCCTTAAATGTGACAGTCTGAGAACCGGTGTCTGTGTCATGGGGGGCCCGAGGGGCCAGGCCCCCTGCCAGGTGGGTATGCCCCTCTTGTTCAAAATCATCATCACCCACCCGTGGATTGTAGCTAAACATATATTTATTCAACACATTTCCAAGTGTGCCAAGTGTGTTGATGGCACTGAAACTCATTTTAACATTTGTTGTCTCTACTGCTGCATGTCAAAACTCATTTTCAACTTTGAAGAATGTTTTCGTGGTCCACAGATGTGCCAGACTTCATGAGCGAAAGGCCCCGCTTGTGCATCTGGCCTTTGTGAAGGATCTTAACACACAGGTATCGCAACAAATGAAAGAAAACTATGATGAGAAGATTCAATGCAATGACCAGCAAATAGCTTCAATACATTTTATAACAGCTGAATGATCATGTTCATGTAGTTTCAGTTGAATCTCCTGTGGATGGATTCATCTGGCTGTGGAACAATGACAACAGAACACCAGACACTTTGTGTGCGCAGTACAACTGATTCATGTTGTTAACTGAAGTACTTGTGTCAGACACCACCGATTAGTCCAGGCCCTAAACACACCTACCTCAGCTACACTTCATCACCAACAAACAAAAGCTCTTCTCTCATGTGTGGTCGAAAGCTCCAGTAAATCTAGTAAGTGATCACTGATTTAACATTATACTGACAGAAAACACAGAAAATCCTCTCAGAGGACATACTTTGACCCACCCCCGTCAATGTCAGAGCCATCACATTACGTCACAACTATTGTCGTATAAATACAATAACGTCATGCTTTACGTGACGTTCCTGTCGCGTATCTTATGGTCAGTCCAGCTAACAAGCTAATCCTAACCGGTGTCTGTCAGTTACCAGTCCAGCTAACAAGGCTAACAGCACCATGTCAGGAGATTCATTGGAACTGTGATATGTTAGAAACAGTGGAGCTAACTGATGCTACATGCTAAACTAAGTTTAAACAAACTAATTCTCAGCTAAGCTAAGTTAGCTGTCCACCAGCTGATCTGGTAGCATGTTAGCATCGTTCTGCCATTCTCCCAGCAGCACTGCAGGAAAACCTGGTCACTTTTCCGGGTTACCCAGGATATCTGTGCCTGACAGTGACGCAGCGTTTACCTCATAACTCAGTAACGCCTGTAGTCCGTTCTGCTGAAACACATGTGGCTGCTCACAGTGCGGGTTCACCGTGGAAACCGACAGCGGTCAGCCGCTTCATTCCTCCACACGGTCAGCAGAAGCCATCCTGGTCTACCCGGCATGCACCTGGGGTGGGGGCGTCCCGCAGCGACACCTGGTGGCTACTGGCAGTAGCAATTATTAACATTTACAATTGCAAGTGAGTGACTCATTAGATCTCATTTATGAATGTGATACTAACATTTCTACTTCATGAATTATTAGAAAGTGTGAAACATACTTTATATTAATTACTATCAACACGTCACATTAACTGTGTTGTTCTCACAAAATTTGGACAGTTATGGTTTACACCCAGATCACCAGTCAGTCAAACTCTGTGTATAAGTCAGTAAATGCTTATATTATAATAAGCATGCAGTTATACAGTACGTATACAGATAAACATGGCTGCACACAGGTAGGTACATCTCATGTACAGGCCTACAGGTCGTCCAGCTGAATCTAATCTTAGGCTTTTAAATCAGGGTTAAAACATTCATTCAGTTACAGGAACTTAATTAAGAGACAATTTAAAGCAACAGGACAGATAAAATGTTTATATAGACATATGGATGTGCACTACCAATCAGATGTTTTAGTATGTAGGTATCACAGTCCAGTCAGTGTTGTTCAGTGTTCACATCTGTGTTAGTTTTTCACTTGTGTTGAGAAAAGTCTGAGCTCTGATTGCCATTTTAAATTTGTTTATAAGGTATTCTACACAAGTCTTTTAGTGAGAAAGCTAAGAGACTGGAAGTAGTAGTAGTTCCACCCGCTGTCCCTGTGACCTGTTACATTTTTTATAGGTTGACAGATTACATCGGGGCCACTTGTGTTGTTTTTTATAAATGAGAACCATGTAAAACAGTCAAAACTTAGCAAATTCTATTTCTGAAGAATTCGAGTAGTTGTAAAGAGTCGGGGCAGTAGAGGGAAAGGCGCTAGGGTGCGCTGTCACCACCACTAACACGTAAACTCCACGAAGAAGCAGCTTCAGCGATGGCGAAGCGTAGTAATAGTGGACCACAAACGCTGAACTTGAGTTGTGTCTAAAGCCCGTTACTGCTGTTTCGTGTCAGCGTGTCGTCGGTGTGAGGATGGCTCACTGCTACCTGCGACTGTGGGCGGGCTGCAGGAACGTGTTCCGAATGCCGGTGCCCTCCGGTGCTCCGGCCAGGCTGGTAGGTGTAACACATGCTAACATGCTAATCAGGACAGCGGCCAAAACAAGCGCGAGCAGTGACCCCGCTGACCGGCTGACAGGTCAACACTGACCCTCGGGGTGAACGGCGGGCCCGTGTTAGTTACCAGGTGTTAGGTCAGTTAAATTTACCCGAGTGACGGATCAGGACTGCTGCTGTCATTGACCAGTAACCCCTCTGTATAAAAGCTAACAGCAAATGTACACAGTGCAAGGCGCTCTTGGCTGTAGAGGTAAAATATGTGTGTACACTGAGCTGAGTTCGAATCTTCTGTCCCACAAAGGCTGAGCTGACGGAGATGTGGAGTTCTCTGTGTGGTCTCTGTTACAGATCAGTGTTTGAATTTAACAATTAGCTTTGAATTTACATTTGCACGTTAAATTTGACTTGTGGATATGAAAGTGGCCGTGTTATTGTCGAGTTGTGGCTGATGTAAACAGTCGTCAAACAGCAGCCGCATCAGGATTAATTATAAGCACTGTGGTAGAGATCGGTGATTTCTATCAGTCCTGTGCTCTGGATTTAGATTTTTTTTTTCTTCATACCTGATTAGTCTTAAGTCAGTCTATCTCTCAGTCAGCTGCCTCCAGTGCTGGTCCTGAATCAGTTTCTGTTTCTCCAGAATCTCTGTCTTTACATCTTCCGTTGTTTCAATAATAAGAAAAAACATTTAACCTGTCTACCCCGCTGCCTCCTCAGTTTCTCCCTTTCTCCTTGTCACAGCTACTGTTGAATTTATTTTTGACAGTGTTGAAATAAACAGCGACTGTCTATTTGCTGCACACTTAAATTTATTTAGCTACAGATACACTTTCATTGTTGTCTGACAGAGCCATGCTGTGTGTTGGTCAGGTGATCAGGTGTTCATCCATGGTGGGGCAGGTAGAGAGGGGTCAGGGCCTGCTGAGTGACCTGCTAGGAGCCTGCAGGACGCTGAGCTCCAGACCACCAAAAGGTACAAAGCCCTGTGTTTCTGCACTTTTACGCCTGTGTGAGGACCGACTGAGTTCAGATTTTGTCTGGCCCTGCAGACCTGGTTTTAGAGTCAGAGTCAGGTTTAGGTTTTAGTTTGAATAACTCTTCGTTGTTTACAGAGGTTCACATGTGTTCAGCATACAGACAGGAATTTATTTTTGAATATTCAAATAGTCATTACATTTTAAAAAATCATATTTTATGCGACTGTAGTTTTGTCTTTAAAAACAAAACAAAACAAAAAACAGTTTTCCTTTGCTTTTACCGGTGCCTGGAAACAACGTGATAACGAGCTCAGTATATCATTTTACTACAGCAGAAAATTCTGTGTGGAACTTCTCGGAAAAGTGCAAACTCTGCCAGGTTAAGTTTGCATCTCATACATCAACAACAACTGTACATGGGCATTTGAAGGTGAGGCAGCCAGCAGAAAGTGGGGCACGGCCCGCAGATCTACAAGTAATCCTCAAATAGTTCACAACAGATAGCAAGTAGTATTTTATAGGGATGCAGCGATACCACTTTTCTCAGACCAAGTACATGTACTTGTAGGGAGCTGACAGTGGGGGAGGTGACAGTGGTGCGGTGGTAGAGCAGTCATCTCCCAACCAGAAAGATGAGGGTCTCTCTCACTCACACACACCTGCACCCCGCCCACACTCTTCCACTGCGCATGCGGCCAGTGGAAGTCAGCGGCTATTTTCAACTCAGCAGCATGGGAGCAGCTCCGCTCGACACGAGTGACGAGGTTCTGTTATGTAAAAAGAAAAGCACCGGTTCGTTAGTTTGGAAGTGGTTTGGTTTCGATGATGTCGAGCAAAAAAAAACATAATTTGTAAACTGTGTCACAAAGAAGTTGCGTCCAAATGTGGAAGCACAACAAATCTGTACCACCATTTACAGCAACGCCACAAACTCCAGTACGAGGAGTACATGAAACTTCGGCATGCTGCAGCCACTGCTCCCACGACATCTAAGCCGCCAGAATTAAAGTTCTCCTGCCTGCCGTCCACCTCGACACAAAGCCAGCAGAGTGTTAAACTGCATTTAACCGTGGTGTGCCGTACGGAAAAAAAGTGCTAAGTGGCGTGAAATTACAAATGCAGTAGCATACCATATTGCAAAGGACATGGCCCCTATTGCCACAGTGGAGCAAGATGGATTCAAAAAAACTACTGAAAGCACTTGACCCTAGGTACCAGTTGCCCTCGCGCAAGTATTTTGCACGAGAGGTGCTGCCAGAAATGTATACGGATGTC